TGAATGAATGAATGAATGAATAAATAAATAAATAAATAAATAAATAAATAAATAAATAAAGTTTCTTCTATGAAGAAAATTGAATTAAAAATAATACAGTTCATCCATTGAAAAATATATGTATTATATTGCAGAAAGTCGGCTTTTCATTCCATAGCAGCTAGCCAGCCAGTTTCATTCCATACCAGCTAGTTAGCCATACCAGCTAGCCAGTTTCAGCCAGTTCTTAAAAACAGCATAGCAAATCTTAGAGCCAAGGCATGAGACTTTGGGGCATAGGGCCAGATTCCTTCCTCCCCCCACCCCAAGCCCTTCCTTTCTGTAGAATTTTCTGTACACAAGAGGAAAGAAACTCCTTTTACTGTTCTTTAATATTCCCTTCATCAGACAGAGCATCCTTATTTGTGCTTTAATCCATGAATAAAGATTGATTAATGCACAGTCATGGAATGAATAGCCCTTTGATTTGCATTGCCCTTCCCTTGGAACGGCTTGGAAAACAAACCTGCGAAACAAGAATGTTTCTCAGACAAGCCAGGATTTCTAAACCTGGTCTAAAGTTGGCTTACATATTTGACTTCTCTACTTTTTTTAGACAAGTTTTTCAACTGTTGGGCTTTGCTATTAGCTTAGTCACGTACAATCATTGGCAGGATATTATTGCAGTTGTGCAGGTCACTGGACTGTTTCCATTCATAGGTACTCTTGTAATGCCTATGCTGCCCTTGTGTAGCTTACAACATTTAAATCTAATTAGTACCATATCATTCATGTTATCTAATTTAACTTCAGTTGCGTTCACTGCTTTTTTAAACTGTCTCTCTGTTTGAAGTAATATAGCAAATGTTTTCCCCTTTTGAAAATACAAAATCCAAAGACATATGCACATCTGTTTCTGCCGGTCCTGCTTCTATACATAATTCAGTAGCTCAGCTCTTAACCTACATATGTTTGGTATTGATAATTTAGAACACGCACACCATGCAAAGCATGGGAGAACCTCCTGTAATGTTAATTTAATTCTGAAATATTTGTGTACATTGTCTGGCATGAAGAAGCTCTGCTTTTCCAGATGTTGCAGAACTAGCATTCCTCAACATCACCTGTTCTGATTTGGGCTGCTGAGAAGTGTGGCTTAGCAACCTCTGAAGGACTCCCAGGTTTTCTGCCTCTGCCTGATAGGAAAAGGCAAATAAAATTATTTAGTCCTTCTCACTGACAGTGCAGAATTTCCTAGAGTTCCTTTTTACTCTGCTTTCTCTCACTCCAGTGGCCATGTCTTTTGAGGATCTTGCAAGGAATAAAACCAGTATGTGTTCCTTTATGATTAAAACTTTATTAACACATTGCTCTGAACTAAAATATAGTTTAGTTTGGGGTTTAGGGAGTTGTGTGAACCTAATTATTGTGTTTTATAGTTCATTATTTACAACTTACCATAATTTGTGAAGTTAGCCAGTTGATTTTTATTTGATAAACTATGATTAAGTGATAATGTTTAAATCCAGTAATTGGTTGAGGAAGAATAGGTCTTCTTAAACTTCCCGTAACTCTTTGCTTAGCATAGACAGCAGAGCAGTTCAAGAACATTAAGTACTTAAAGCTTACCTGTTAAACTAGAATGTGTGTTCTCCTAAATGCATTATGAAGTTGAGAAAGAATGGTTCAGAGTCCTGCTCTCACCATTCAGCTCCTGAAGAGAACTAGGGTCCCCACAAAGCACATCAGGGAAGAACATACATTGATGGTCTCTGAACTGCTTATTTGATCGCACTCCTACATCTCGTGTCAGTTTCCGTATGCAGCTCTGCTTCCAAGCAATGCACGTTCTGGGGCCTTTACGGGTAACGTGCCTTTGATCCTAAAAGTCACCATCAAAGGATGGCAATAAATGGGCTTGATTTTCTGGATGAAACAACAGAGTCAGTTTACTTACAGCTTAAACGTATAGTTATATTAAGGTCTTGCGGAAAGAATATTATCCAGGAGCTTTAGGAAGGAAGGACCACCTCATTGAGCATCCACTGCTTGATCCCAAGTTTCCTTTGTTCACTGTTTATTTAAAGGTAGATGTTGGGCATCTGCAGACTCCAGTGGTTTTGTCAAAATGATAAAAGCAGCGCTGCACTGGCGCTCTGCCCGTTTCATAGATTCATGCAGTGTCACGTTGATATAAAGCTGCTTTTGTCATTGGACCCTCCTATGGATACTTCTGGATAGATTTTTTTTTCCTAATCAGGTTTCTAGTTGGGGATGAGGGTATGCAATGCTGATCTTCAGTGTATAAAAGATGGTGCTGCAAGACAGAGGCATTAAGCCACTTTGGAATGGGGAATATTCCCATGTTATGGTGGTAGTATTAATGGAGTGACTGAAAAGCTCTGCAAGTATCTTAAAAGAGTAGACAGTGCTAAACTTGCCACTAGGTTTAAGATGCTGGTTTTGGCCTACATGTGGAAAAGAGAGCACTGCAGCTTACAACCCCGTCTGCTTCTGTCCACTGCGTGGCTCAGCTGAAAGTTGGGTGGGTCACATCAGTTTGTTCAAATGTAGTGAGAAACCAAGGTTTAACCTAACTAAAATAGAATTACTGAACAGGAAGTAGTGAATGTAATTTCTATTCAGAGTTGCTGTTAACAACTTTGCTGTGGTTCGCTGTGTGTGTGGATGTTCTGCAAGCATGAAACACATAATATTGTATGAAGGGCTATTGCAGCAGTGAGACATCTCAAGCTAGGTGGCTCTGCAGAAGCAGCAGAATTGTCAAGACAATCTGCCATGATAGGAATTCAGACTATTAAATATATTATACAAGCTAGAAATGGGTGAGAAGTTGATAAGGGAACATTTAACATCATCCTTTTCAGATCAATATGAAAGACTTAGATGCTAGGCTGTCCTAACTCTCTTATTTGTAACTGTTTTAAACATAGCACTCTGCAGCTAAATTCACATATAATGCTAAGCCAATATTGCTAACTGCAGTGTATTGAACAAGCCATTGTGGTCATGTTTCCACATAATATTAGGAAATGGAAAGTGGATTTAAACAGCCTGCTAAGCCAAAGCAAACAAATCCCGTAAGAGTTCACAATTTTGTGAACTTTGCTATCATTAAGAAGAAGAAAAAGATTTCTCTCACCAGCTGTGGGTTCTTCTCAGGCTCCATGATGAAGATATTTTCCTTTGAGATGGTAGAATAGGTTAGAAACATAAACCCTCTCCTCCAACAACCGAAGATTGATTACAAGCAAAATCATTACGTTTTTCTGTTGCATTGTTGGAACAGGATTGACATGGGGGCAAAAGAAGTATGTGCACATTTCCCAAAACCACTTTGAATACAGTAGTCCCAAAATTATATTTTGTATCTGGCCAAAATTAATTTTAGTTCTGTCATAGTTGTTGCCTGTTAATGGAACCAAATAAAATTTCATTTCAAAACAGCACATAAGTTTCCTACTGATTTCACTGTTTTTTTTATAACGATTATGATAAATGAACATGATTTTAACAAATAATAATAATATTTTTTCTTTCTCCTATAGATGATGAGAGCTTCATCCTATTAGAAGCTGGAAAATACGAATTCCCGTTCAGTTTTCAACTTCCCCTGCAGTAAGTAACGCAACATAAATTCAAATTTTGGTTTTTCTTCTAAATGTTCTTATAGAATCTCTAAAAACATTTTAGCAACAGTAGACAAACATAAACAAAGTGGTTTAGACATAATGCTCTATTCTGGCATGATCTTGATTTAATTTTGATTAGCATTATATTAAAAGTTTTTTAAAAGCTAATGGTGAGTAACTGCTAAATCCTTAAGGGCAAAAAGTTGGACTTTAGGACTCTACTAACCTCATCCTTAACCATTACAGCAAGAAAGCAGTGATGCACACGCCCCTCTCCATGTGGGAGACGCATTATAGAACACAACTGTGTTGGGGAAGATACAGTAGAAATGTGGATTCAGCAAAGCTACGTTCAGCGATTTGAATAAAGATGAAATCCTTGAGTCCCAACTCTAAACAACATAGCTGTAGCTTTAAAGAAATTTGAACATCACTTGCACGGACTAGGCTGATTGAGAAACTTTGTGGGCAGAAAGAAGGAAAATGTGGCTAGGACAATGACTCAAGGCTGGCCAGGTTTGCAGTAGCACTCTTGACCCTTCACTTTGAGGAAATGCTGATGCATTTCTTGACCGTGGCGAGGACTGTTGGCTAAGGTTGATTGTTTGATGAATCAAATACAGATTCCATGTTTTGAAATACACACCAAGAAAGGTTTCTGGTCCTCAGATGTTTTTGTATTTGTACCAGTTATAAAATAAACTATTGAACTGTTGCAGTAAGTTGCATTTTTATTATGTTTGATATGCATATTATGCAAAATACACATTCACCAAACAGTTCTCTGGTTTTAACATTCTGCTCCCCCTCCCCCCCTTTTTTTTGTCCCCAGTGGCAAACTTTCAGTTTAAAAAGTTATAGTTCAAAATAACTTTGTTAAGCCTCCGTGGAGCTACCACAGAGAACAGCCACTTAGACAGTAGCCTTTTGGGGCTTCATGCTTTATCTGACCACAAGTAAGTGGTCAATTAAACAGCATCCCAAGCCATCGTAAGGTGCCAGGAGTGAAATTCTGTTCAGCATAATTTGTTCATGCACAGGCACATGGAATGCATACAGCAATCTGTCATGACCTGAGCATCTCTTAAATATGCCTGGTTAGTCACAAGGTCCCTTGGGGGGGTGGCATTCTAGCAGGAAAACTGTAAACAGCTGCCTATGTTAAGTCAGCCTCTGAGAAGAAAAATGTGCTGCATTTGTCATTTCTTTGTCTTGTGTCCAGTCCCTTGGCGACCTCCTTCACAGGGAAATATGGCAGCATTCAGTACTTTGTGAAAGTGACCCTGGAGAGCCCCACAGCCCCCCATCAGACCGTGTCGAGGGAGTTTCAAGTCATCAGCCACATTGATATCAATTCTCCAGTTCTCCTGGTAAGAGAGAGTAGCTGCACAGTGCTCGCTTTCCTTTGTTCCTAGTTACAGCCTGGCCCTTGTTATTTTACACTATTCCTCTTGTTATTTTACACTATTCCTCCGCTGACTTTTCAGTGAGCTCCCTTCTGGGTTTTCCTCTATAAATAGATAGCCCTGGGTTGTGCAAACTGCAAGAAGTGTTTGCTTCTTCCTTTTTAAATGTCGTTGGTTGGATCCCAGCTGTTCTGCCCAAACCTGGGGAAGTACTGACAGAGTTCCAGAAGGTTTTTGATAGCAGTAACCCAAAAATTGAAATGGATTTCCTGTTATCAGAGTAGTGACATTTATAGGGCTAAGTTCTATCCCACTCCCAGGAGTAGCAAGCTGTGGAATAATAATTATAGTTAGCTGTTTATCGTTCATAGCTGTGATTTAACCCTGGCCATTAGATTTTGCATCCTTCCATTGTATATGTCATTTCACAGCATTAACAGCATAGAACTTGTTGCTTCAGATCTTTTCAGTTGTTATTTTCTTATGGGTTTGCTTGCCATAAGTATTGATCTTCTAATGTTCTAGGGAAATGCAGAAAATAAGTACAGGTTAAAGTAATAAGTAGTCAAAACATAGAAATAAGGTCCTGTGTGATTATTCTGCCTACGAGTTCATTACCTGCTTTAAAACTCATTGTATACCTGATTGTCTTGATTTCTGTTGTTTGCATAGCAAAAGCTGGGACCCTGATCATTTTTCACCTAATATTTTGGTATTTTCTTCTTTGGAAGTAAAATAATCAGAAATCAGTACTTGATGGGTAGTTTGCTAATAAAATTATGTAATGCAAGGGTGCACAACTTACAGCCCCACTAAAAACCCTGAAATCACACCACTGAAATTGGGGTGATGAATTTTGGGGAGATTTTCTTCAAAATAAGAGTAGAAATGAAAATGGCTTAATGAGTGGTTTAGGGAGTTAATTTCACACCTATGACTCAGCCTCATGTGAAGGAAAAGCTAAACACAGTGAGATAACATTGGGAAAAGATGACCTACAGAGAACCCAGTCTTCTGAGTCTTTATTTACTGGACTTTGATTGGCACAAAAAAGCAAAGAATAGCAGAGCTCTTGCAAAACAAGGCTTCCTGTGCAAAATGTTTGTTAAATGAATGGGAAGCGGTGGGTCTTCATGAAACTAGAAAAGTCAATGACAGTAGCAAAGAAAGTCTCTGAATCATCTTGGAAACTTTCCAGCAATCACAAGGGACCAAGAAAGATTTAAAGGTCAAATCTACAATTTCTAGTCTTATGTCACTGTTTAAACCATTCCAGAGTCAGATCGGAATCCTGCCTCAGTTGACCACCTTGATCTGGTTTAGACAGGAATGTGAATGGCAGTGCCTAAAACTTTGCAGCATTGCAGAGTAGTAATTAAAAAAAAAATAGACTTCCTTTCTTTGCTTTTCCACTCCATTGTTAAAGGAAAATAGCCAGAGAATGTCGGCTGGTGGGGCCAGGAGGAGAGCCCTCTGTGCCATTGCCCCCTCCCTTTGGAATATTCTCCTCCCAGAGGTGCAGCGGGGCCCAACCCTCCCGGCTTTCCGGAAAGGACTGAAGACCTGGCTCTGCCAGCTTGTGTGGGGCGAGAAGAGCTCTAATAATCCTGGGGGTGGCTGGCACCCTGATGATAGTCCCTGAGCTACTCACCAGTTCCATCAATTCTTGGAATTTATTTATTATTTATTAAAGAGGGTTTTTATACTGTATTTTCATTGATTTTATCTTCTCTGTAAACCACCCAGAGTCGCTTTTTAACAAGATGGGTGGTGACAAATTTGATAAATAAAATTTTTCTGTAAGGTTTCCTTTGGATCCATTTTGATGGAGAAAAGGACATCACAAGCTGTAAAAACCACATGCTACTTAGGAAGGTGTCAGAAGCTGAGTCCCTTCTTATTGTAGAGCCACATATCTTTTTTCCAAAAAGTATTACAGTCATTCTGGAGCTCGCTGAGAGAACTGGAATCTACATGCCAGATACTGATGTTAGAATAGAAATAGAGAAATGCAGCTCCTTTTGCTTCCCTTGCCTTGCATGCCTCTCAGCAGTTAATTGGCACATTGGTCACCGTTGACCGTAGTCACTGTTCCCTTAACAGATTTTATTCTTGCCCCTTTTTGCAGAGTTCTGTAAGACAGACTCAAGATAAAATGGTTGGGTGCTGGTTTTTCACTTCGGGTCCAGTTTCTTTGAGTGCCAAAATCGATAGGAAAGGGTATTGCAATGGTAAGTATCCATATTTCAACTGTCTCTTTCACAATGTCATGTTTGGCTTTGGAATATCCTGTGTATGTTCTTGTGGTTTATGAGTTTATAAGAATCCTGGGTTTTTAACATAAACACGTTTAGAAAGTGGTATCTAGTAAGCCCGTATATGTGTGTCTGAAACATTTTAATTTCTATCATAACATGTATATGTTTAAGGCCTACTGTACTAATGAGCACTTACATTTTAAAATGTGTTAGCTTAGAGAGAGGAACTATGAAAAGAGAAAAAATAGCTGGAGGGAGCTGTCTTAAAAACACAAATGCTTTTAATCGTAATAGATTTGTTTACAAATGTAGAACTTTTCATGTTGCCTGTTGCAGTATTAGATTTTTTTCCAGACTTGAATTGAATGTTACTTTATCATACAATAACTACGTTCAAAGGCATGCTTAAGAAAATATTATTCTAAGAAGGAGGAGGATGTGACTTACATAGGTACATTACAACTTACTCAGTGTTCCTGGGTTCTTTTATTTTTTCCTTTAGGTGAAGTTATACCAATTTATGCAGAAATAGAAAATTGTTCCTCTCGGTTAATTGTTCCAAAAGCTGCCATTTTCCAAACACAGACTTATTTAGTTAGAGGGAAAATGAAGACTTTTCGTCAGATGGTTGCCAATGTGCGAGGGAACCATGTTGCCTCAGGAAGCACAGATACCTGGAATGGCAAAACGTTGAAAATTCCACCTGTCACCCCTTCTATTCTTGACTGCTGTATTATTAGAGTTGAATATTCCTTAGCTGTGAGTATGGTTTCCATCCAATTAAACAAATCTTGATCAATAGATTGTAATGCAAGAGGCAACACCTAGCTGATTTTGTCTAGACTTGGAAACTAAGAAGAATGGGGCTAGTTAGACTTCAGTAGGAGACCGTTAGAAGATTGTAGACTAAGCTGTAACCTTGAAAAATATTCCTGAAGAAAGTACTATCAAACCACTTTCACGTTGCCTAGATATGTCCATGAAGTTGCCAGGAGCTTTAACTCAGAGATTATAATATTATAATATAATGTAATTTAATAATATAACATTATAATGCAACTAAATAGTATAGTGAGAGAAAGATGTTCTTCTGAAACGGGCCAGAGGGCTCCAGGATATGGCTTTGGAGAAGGGATTCCTGTTGCAAAACTCTTACGCTTTACCCAGAATTAATGTGTTTGTGGGAATTTCCTGACTTTGCAGCTTGGAAAATTGCAAACTCGATTCCCCTCTGGCAACTGTTTAAAATTTCTTCTCTCTTGTCACAGGTGTATGTTCATATTCCTGGTGCCAAAAAGTTGATGGTTGAACTGCCTTTGGTCATTGGCACAATTCCATGTACTGCTTTTTCCAGCAGGAACTCAAGCCTTGTCAACCAGTTTGCTATGGATATGGGATGGCTGGCTCAGACAATGCCAGAACATCCAGAAGGTGCACCCTTGGGCTTTATTTGTCTCATCTTTTGGGGCTATGGTTTTCAGTTGCAGGGGAAAGGCCAATCCTGAACAAGTTTCAAAAGGAAAGCTGGTATAGCGAGTGAAGTGTTTGACTTAGACTGGAGAGAGTGGAGTTGATAAATAATCAATTTATCCATAAAAGCTTTTTTGTACTCCTAGTTCAGTTGCTGTTTTTCACTGAAATGTTAAAAGATGACTGTCGAAATATAATGCCAAGTTTTCTTGGCAGGGCTTTGAGATTGCACAAGATAATTCATTATAGGTTGGATAAAACCAATTATTTTACTTAAAATATATATACAGTTAAATTGGATTTTAAAAAATGTTAAATGTTCTGATGATGGTTTTATCCAGCTGAAATAACAGCTTTTACTCTGAAAGAAGTGGCCTTTCAGTGTTATTTCTGTGACTATAGCCATATGCGCAAAAGTGCAAGCTGAATAGAATATTGTCCCAAGCTTGCATAATGATGAAGCTGGGCTAAGCAAGTTGGTCTTTAGAAAAAAAAATAAGAAATTCATTAGGAAGGGATTGAGATAGACTAGAAAGGGATAGCGGAGCAGACATTTTTATTATAATGCTGCATCCATGGCTGGATATAAGGAGCAAGTACTTGTACAATTTCCTGCGTAAATATCAAGTTCTCTAAAATTGCATAAAGTATACCCTGTGTTATTTATAAATTGTGGTTTTAGTTATTAGATGTTTACCATTGCTTAAAAAATATGGAGAGAAATGATCAGTAGCGAACTTTATTTAAGTCAATTATTTTAAGTAGGGTTTTCTGTCTATAATTTTAATTGCTCTTGATTGTAAATCAGTTCATCCAGGAACGGATAGTCTCTTCTTTGGATTCAAGCACTCTTAAAGTGGTTGATGTTACATTAAAATTATCATGGCTACATTTTGGATCATCAGTCATCATAGTTACAGCTTAGGGACTGATTTATGTGCAGAACAAAATCACTGTAGTATGATTTTACTTTGATTGAGATAAAGAGTTACATGTCCATGTGCATGTGTTTGTTTCCTAGCACCACCCAATTACGCTGATATAGTATCGGAGGAAGAATATGCAAGGCATGTTACTGTTTATCCACCTTCAGTTGATTGTGAAGAACAGCTGCCTTGTCCTATGCTTGCCTACATACAAGAATTCCGATTTCAGCCACCTCCTCTCTATTCAGAGGTAATTTGACATGCTTGAGTGCAATTTTTAAAGCTCCCCGACAAATTTATGTGAATTCATGAATCCACAGTAAATACTTCATTTTTCTGTGCAGATTGACCCCTACCCTACTGAGGTAGAAGAAAATCAACCAGTTTCACTCATGGATTAAGGATGATCCAAAAAAGCCTCGTCTTGACTAGACGGAACACCTTGATTTGGTTTTTCTACTGCCTCTGCTTGTAGCAAAGTGCTTTTTTTTTTTTTTTTTAATAAAGCAGTGGTCCTGCTTAAAGTTGGAACAGGCACCAGAAGACTTAAGTCAAAACAAGTCAGAACAAGTCATGAACAAGGAGGCAGGCATGGAAGAACGTGTTGTGGAGTCACTGGCCCAGAAGAAGATCATCTGAGAAGAAAGAAAGTTTAGGTTGTGGTGCATCTTACAAACAGTGGTCAGGATATTTCAGAGAGCAGTAAGACAACAGCTACAGAAGGTCTGCCTTTGGGAGTACAAATATTTGTATCTGTATCCAGGTACAAGGATTTCTGCGTGACGGTTTCAATCCCCTACCAAGATTATGTGAGATTTTGACTCCAAAGATTACTAACATTCTTTTTCTGTGAAACACACAGACAGAGAAATATCATTCCTAACATTAATAATGGAGCAATACTGTAACATTTTTACTGAGTGAGTGATATTAAAGATATTCTATACAGTGTTGAATAGGTGCAAGCTTGGTATCCTTACCAACTTTGGAAATTGCAATTTAGGGGTAAGGCTGGATTTTAAGAGTTGCTTTGCTCTGGACTTCAGGCTGCTAGGCTGTTTTTGCTTCTTCAGCAAGGTGGCATGATTTGCAAAAGGGGCAGCCAAACATTCAATCAGGACTTTTTCAGCAACTTGAGATGTTACTGCTTTGGCACTTAATACCAGCTAGGCTGAATGTAACAAGGATGCTTTTGCACTCTTTAAAAACTTGCATAAAGAATGATGAAACTCTATAGGAATATGTAGATGGAATGATGATCTTGTTTAAAAAAAACAAAAAACCTCCCGCTCCCTCCTGGAATGGGAGCTGAGACCAAAAGTGTTTTCCACTGAGTTCGATTTGCCTTTCTTGTGATTAACAAAATGCAAATGGAGAGTAATATTACCAGATCCAGATAACGTCTCTGTGAAGTTTTGTGAGAAATGAATTATAGATACTGTGACACGTGGATTTAAGATTTAGGACTAAATTGTTAATTATGGTGCAATTATTCTTTAATTTGTTTCTCAGGTCAGTGTGCTTTGCTCTAAGGGTAAAGTCTTATCTTGTTTCTTAATTCCCAGGAAACTCTGTACTGTAACCTTCTAGCCTTTGCACTCCAGAAATATTGCTTGAGTTTCCATCCATAAAATTTGTGAATAATAAAATCAATAGTTCTGAAGGGGGAGAAATGCCCTATTTCCTTTGCTGGTAGACCACATTGGCAATCTGCACTACGGCACTTCTGCCTTGCCTTTCGGAAGTATTTGATTTGGCTAAGAGAAACTGTACCTTGAAGCTCCAATGTTGCACATTTAAAATTGTGGCTTGATTAGATAGAATTCTGTGGATATATAGATCAAAGGCAGGCAACTTGCAAGCCTTCTCCCATGCTGCATCTGAGTTACCAAATTATCAGTAAAGGGTGCCATGTGCCATGTTTCCTGCCCTTTTTGAGGCAGGAAGATAAGAAAACCTCCAGACTTCTCTCCCCAAAGCTAGGAAACAAAACAAGAATAATCCAGGCTCCACTGTTTCCGTTTCCCTGCCTGCTGTGGTCCTCCCCATCCAAAAACATATGAAGAGCACCCTCTGGCCCCTAGAAGTTGCCCACCTCTGAGGTAGCTTGATGGAATTCATTCTTAGGAATGAGTGTTGGAGTGGGGGGCAGAGAACATAAACATTTTTCCTATGCACTTTAGCCCTGCTTTCAAACCAGCATTAGATAAGGGAAAAACAAATCAAGAGTTGCTTAATGTACATCCATGAAAGTGGGTCCCTCCTGTGAGAGGGAGTGTCATTTCCTCACAGAGTAGCCATCAGTCAATAATAATCTTCCTATGATCATTCAGGAATTGGGTTGCAGACGGCAGCATCCATAAGGGGATCAAGATCTGCAAGATGGCGGGTGCAACCTTGCCATCCAAGCCACACCCTTTTTGTATGTACCTCTGTTGCACGCCCAGACGAAAGGGTGGGGCTTGGATCGTGGCATAGCAGATGTCCTCTTGCAAATTTTGACACACCCAAACCCACCCCATGGACACCCCTGAATCCTAAATAGAGCTTTATCCTGGCCTATGCGTAATGCCTCTCCAGCAAGAACGTACGTCTTGCCTGTTACATACCATCCTTTCATGAAATGTGAAGAATGGAAAGGAAAGAGGGGCTCTAGATTACGCAGTGCTTTCACTGCCACGAGCTTATTTGCTGCTAAAAATGAAGCCGGCTGTTCTGTTAAAGAGCAGTCTTTGTCATCTGAGACAGGAGAGCCAAGTTGGTTAGAAACCATTCTTTGTCCCCCTGCCCCCATTAGATAACTTTTGCCAGCCCTGACCCCATCCCCCAGGCTTGCTTTTGAAGTCCTGTTGACTAAGTAGGGATTTCTTTTCCCCCAAAAAAGGGGGAAACAGTTTGAAGGGGTGTAGGCTCCTGTTTTCTGCAGGATGTCAAGGAAAACATCTAGGCGATGTCTTCCTTTCTGAGAAGCCAAGTTGCATTTTTTGTACAATTTAGGATGACAAAATGTTGCAAACTGACTTGCTGATTTGTTAGCAGTCTCCTAGGAGGGGAAAAAAAAGTGCACTTCAAGTCCTGTCCCTCACCCCACTCATTCTGTTTATGTCTTTGAAAGACATCCGAGAGGAAAACTGAACCAAAATCTCTAATGATGTCACCAATGCCTTTTTAAAAGAAATGGAATGCCTTTGGTTTTGCTTTTCAAATCAATGCAGAGGAAACCAAGTTTCCTTAACTCCTTTTTTATTACTTGAAGAGCAATAATACAGTGGTACAAGATGCATGTCTTAAAAGGTTGAAGCCATGATAATTATTTGGTGCTTACAGGGACCGTTTAAGATACTAGTAAGAGCTGGCTATCAGTATCATGAGGATCGTATAACTGAAGAATAAGATCAGCCCAAATCAAGATGATGATCTTGGGGTCATGTATTGTGTAACATGCAAATAAAGTGTGGCCTTAGATGGTTAGAAGAAAACAAGAGGGAAAAGTATTCTTAAGCTTTGCTGTGCCTTTCCAAGGGCCCAGTATAAAACTGAATGAGCAAAGTTTTGCATTCTCTTCTCAGGACACATTTTGCTTCTTAATCATATATATTTTGCACAATGATTATTCAATAATGAAAGGGTATGTTTCGTTATTTTTCGATTTCTGTGCAAAGCAAGCAAAACAATTAAAATTACTGTACTTTGCATTAAAATGTGAGCCCTATGGGTTTCCTTCTTAATAAAAAAGTTGCATTTTTTTGTCTTGATTTTGTTTTTAAAAAATTGCACATCCAGACATAGGATGGTGTTTTGTGGCATCATCTTTTGTGAATTAAAAGATACTTCATCAGATGCATGGTGTTATCTTAAATTGGTATATATGGAGAAGGCAAAAAATATAATCAGTGAGGTCTCAGAGAAATGCAGTGCAGAAAGCAAGTGAACAAAAATCCCCTGAAAATTCCATTAAGCTTTAAATTCAGTTCTTGGAGTCTAGCCCAGGAATTGTTGTGTCATTTATGACTTTGATAAATGTCAAATTTCCCAAGACTTTGTTTATGCTTTAGTATGACAAGCCCTCTGGAAATTTTCTTAGACCTAATTGAAGTCCAGTTTCCATTTTGTTTTTAGCACACACAAGTCTTAATTTTCCCACTTTCTGTTAACTTGTATATTTTCTTCTTCAGTATACATTTTACACTGTTGTCATAGATTTTGCTTAGCTTAGTTTATTTACATCTATAATGGTGCCTTTGAATATTTTAATGTAGCCTATCCTGTATAACTTGATCAAAGAGCAGTGATGTGACTCTAATGCAGAATACTGTTTGAAGGAAACGCGTGTGATCCGTTAAGTGTTCTTCTGACCTCTATGCAGATTTCATCAAGCAAAACAGATGCTGTGTCTCAAATAAACTAAACGTTACACGATTCTATGTAAACAGCTACAGGAAAACCCCGTACAGTAAACTCATGAGTGTTTTTTTAAACTTTGGGCGTAGAATCAAAACTGGTGGAAAAGAAGCTGTCCTCTTACCTGCAAAATATGCTGCATTTCTTCATTTAACGTCTTTGGTTAATTTTGCCTTGCCTATTGTTAATATTTTGAACATCCAGCTCCCATCATTTCCTTAACTGCCATAACTCCCTGAATTGGACTCTTCTGAGCAACATACTTAACTTCATTATAAAGGCCTGTCCTTGATGCTTTGGTGATAATCATACATCTTTTTCAGCCTCCTTTTCCAGGCCGAAAGAGCTCTGAATCTGAATGACGCTTCAGAGGTGGTACCAACTTACATGGGAAAGACAGAAAATGCAAAGGTTTGTAGAAAGAGAGCAGGCAGGCAAGCCTCTTAACGCAGCGGAATCTAGTCTAAAGCATGCAAGCCCAATAGAAGCTCTTTTGACATAAAATCACAGGAAAGAGCCAGCAGAGGTAAATGCATTTTTGAATATTTCCGCAAGTTTGCAAAGTGTGTGCATTCTGTCATTGGCTGACTACAGTAAAGCACAAACCCTTCGGCCAATCTAAAAATAACATAAAATCCCTATTGCAAAGCAGCTGTAAGGTTCTGACAGTATCTTGAGTTTGTTGTCTTCGCTGAACCAACATCATTCTTCTATTTTCTTTGCTTAGATCTGTTTGAACCTGGCTGATCAGGGCTATTCAGTAAACCTTGGTTCAGCAAAGCACAGCTTAGCAACATGCGTGTGAACCCAGCTGCTAAAAGGCAGCTTCCTATGACGGATACAAAAGAAGAGCAGCTTCAGATGAAATATTCATGGGGAGGACTTAACCGAAGCACTCCTCCAACTACAATTGGCTTCGCATCAAGCCACATACCACATTTTGGCTGAGTGTGTTATGTGAATGTGCCAGTGTGGCTGGCGACATTAAGCAAAGGCTCAACATCTCAAAGTTGTGCCAAGCAATGGTAAAGAGTTAGCAAGGGCACATGTGCTACCGTCCTGTCCCCAATCGCATGAGGCTAGATAACGCAGGTGGAAGTTTACCTGGGGCCATTTATATTGGCAAACCCAGAGCAGCCACTTTTGTCTACCTGAAGAAACCTTGATTTCACATTTGTACCACACCTGGGTGTCAAGTCCCATTTTCTGCACACACAAAAAGGCACCTCCTATGGGTTTGTGCACTCAGTGAATTCTTGAGTGGGATAGCGGGTTGCTAACCATGCAGAGGACAGTGGTTTGATGTGTTTTCAAAACAAGCCACTACGTGAATATCTTGAGTTCGGTTCTTGACACCTTGAAGTAGATGTGGGATGCTAGAGCAATCTGCACCACTCGGTTGACCAGGGCTGAGGGAACGAGTGACTTTCCTGTTGTTGCAGAACTTCAGCAGGTCCAGCTAACATGGCCGTGGTGAGGTATGACGGAAGTTACAGTTCAGCAACACCCGGAGGGTTACAGGTTCCTCCAACGATGGTACACACCACATCGTTAGACAAGGCATTGGTCTTAGAATACAGTGCAAGCCAAGCTGCGCCTTATTGATTTAGAAATCCGCAGCAGATTATGCCACAGCATGTGTTGATTTAGGGCTGTTTTTCTGACTCTGGTCTGAAGAAAGGTCAGCAAGGGCGCAGAAGCCCATTAGGAGCCATGGCTTCTTTCTCAAAAACAAGCTCAGGTGGTATCTGTACACATCCATTTATTTACTCTATCTATTTCAGTTCTCCGCTTAATTGTCTGTTTGGCAGAGCTCTTAGTGCTCCCGTGTTGTCTTTAATGCAGTTTCGAAAAACAATGAAACACAGATGTGTGGAGTGTAGCAGTCCAAACATTGATTTTAATGGTAGGAAACCCTGTTATGTTATATTATGCTTTAGAACTAAACACGAGAATGGGAAGCGGGGAGAGAGATTTGCTATCATCTTGAGGAGGAAGCGTGCCACTTTTGCCAAGAAAGGCCCAGTGTTGGTTCCAGGGGGGACAAGAAATTAAAGAGGCAAAGCAGATATTCCTCCAGTCAGCTGTCTATGGGAAATCAACCACAAAAAGATTAAAAAGGGGCTATCTATCTAAGAAAAACAGGATTGTTTTTGTCCTGCTGTAGCTCCTTCCCCTTCATCAGCCAAGTTCAGGATGTGAGGTGGGTCCTAACTGGGACTGATAGACTCTTCAAGCTGTAGGTTATTAGTCCTAGGAAAGTCAACTTTTGAAGAAACAGCGTGGCTTTCCAGATGTTACTAAATTGCAACCAGCAGAGTCAATGTTGAGGAATGCTGACAGTTGTTGTTCCATGACTTCTGGAGGTTTCCTGCTATAGTCAAGTCTTCCCTAATCTGGTGTTTCCCAGATGGGCTGGGCTTCACTTCCATCGAACTGGCAATGGTGAGAGATACTAGTAGTTCAACATCTGGAGGGCTATAACTCATTATTGTCAAAGCTTCCTCAGAGCCACTTCCATTGAAATGGAAAGAGTTTTTTTTAAAAAAAACATTCTAGAGAACAGCCAACACAATCAGTTGCACTAGCAAAATATGAGCCGCTATATAGAATTCCGTCTTGTGGTTGGAGACAGTACCTTTATGATCAGCAAATCTAGTGCCAGCTAGATTTGTAAAAACATAAAAAATAGAAAAGATGATTACAGATCAAAGAAAAAAGCAGTGGAGAAACGTGACTGGGGCTTAAGTCCTATCTGACCACATGGGAATAGTCAGCAATAAATTAATAGATGTGAATTTTGCCAGAATGAAGAAACCAGCAAATGACTTTTGAGTCCCACCCAGCTTTTGACAATATAAGATGCAGGGGTCAGCAACTCTGCTTTGCAATACTCCTAAATGGTTTCTGTGAACATTTAGTGCAGCCCCCCCCCCCAAAGTAAAGACCTTTAGAAGGAAAAAATTAATCTCGGTAGCTTTCAGCATTCATGCATGAAGCTCTTGAAGGACCTAGGCCTTTACATGGAATTGCATAACACATCCTAGCCCTCAAAAATATTGTCAGCTCTTCTTTAGCCAACCATCTCTTCCATGTTCTCACCCAGTTTGCAATATGAGCTTCACATCAGCCTTCCTAACAAGGTTATTATATCTTTGGCTGCTCGAGAATTACATTATCATGTGACTGTTTGCTCAGGGAACAGGAACGTTTCTTTGCAAGGAACATGAAGTCACTGTGCAGAGCCAGAACATTTCACTTAGATGTACGTTCAGCTTACAGAAACCAAGTGCCTAAATCTGATGAACCTGGATGCCCAAACTGCAATATTAATTGAAAAGCTTTCCTTTGGCTAATACACAGGGGTACTACATTCCATCGGGCTTAAGGGTAGAATCCATTTTATAAACCCTTTTGGGATTTCTTGGAATCTCAACAAGAGGCTTGTGTATCCACAGGCTGAAAAGTTGCCAAGGGCAATTGGGGTCCACACATTAGGACAGGTTTCACCTCTTCAATTGGCCAACAGTTGGCATCTATATTGGGCAGTGCAACTTTTAATTCAAGCCATTGTGAATCTTTAGCCGTAGCTTGAAAAATAAAAAGAGACACTTGTGGGCAGGTGGGACACAAGAAAAGTGTTATTCAAGGCCATTGCTCCATGTGCTTCCAACCAACTGCATTTCATGAGAATGGAGTCCATCTGGATTTTTGACACCTGGTGCCTTGCACTTTCCCCCCAAACCTGCATTAATCTTGAATTAATTTCACATACAACTTCATTTCATTGGAGTCTTAGAAACTCAAGGGAGTTGCTCTATTTTCCCCTTCAGAGACTCTCCAAAAGGGAAATGCAACTGCCTTAATTGCAGTGGATGTGTTTTTAGACATATTAATAATCAGTTGTTGCTTTCTATTTTTTTTTAAGTGCTGCTGCTGTATCAGTCACAAAATGGTGGTGTTCCAAGAAGAGTCCTTGAGGAGTCAGTTAGGTTTTTGTTACAGAGGGGAATGGGGGTTTGTTGCTCATTCTAAATTCTAGTTTTGACAAGAAAATTCTGGTCATCCCAGCCTGACCAGAATAAAATATCCCAGTCATATTGGCATCTTCTCACAGTCCACCCTGTGAGAAGTTCCCCGTGTCTGCTTTTTCTAAAAATACCTTCAGATTTTCCAAGTTGGTGTTTGACCCCAATGTAAACATCATGGTTTAGGTGAACCATCCAAAGAGAATTAACACTTATGGGCGGTAATTATACCACCTCCACTAACCAACTAAATGCAAGAGTCCTTATTGATAATGCCAAGCATGAGTGAGAAGGTAGGACAGTTGGGCCCCTGTTAAGTAGCAGTACCAGCT